CCTTATTAGAACCCAAAGGCCATCACTGTCACCATTATTTCCCACATTGTCGTGGAACTCCTCGGCTAACCTCTCATCTCACTGGTTAAAACGATGCTCCCTTTTCACTGAACTGCTCTGCCAGGTTCTGTGCTTGGGTCAGATAAGTCACTGTCCTTAGGGGAGTGTGGGGTCGCTGGGGGCTGTCAAGGGGAGGTTTACTGATGGTCAGAAGACACAGCTGGCCACTGGGAGACAAGGAGCTGGTGCAGGAGAAATAGTCATGGGCTTCCTGGGAAAACTCAGGTGGCACTGAAGGATGTTCCTCAGACAATTGGTTTTCAATAGGAGATAATGAGTCGGTAATGAAATACGTGATTAATTTCATCAGGGAAGGTGGAAGTCCCCTGTGACCAGCGCAAGCCTGGAGCCTCCATCCAATCAGCATTCAGGAAGGATCATCAATCCTCAGGAACAGAGGGGACCCTGCAGGTGGTGAATTCTGCATTAGTGAGAAACCCCAGCTCCACAGACTGGGCTGCTCGGAAGGGCTCTGAGGGAAACTGCCCAAGAATGACTTGGCCAAGGACCTGTGGAAGAAGGACCCCAACCCATGCGGAACAAGAGGGGACCACCTCTCTCCCCATGGTGCTGGCCCTCATTGTGGGGCTGCCCCTCACTGACACCAAAGAGAGGCTTAGTGTTCTGAGGCCTGCACCGTGTCCCAGAATGTGGGGAAGCACAGATTTTTCCAGGGTCCCTGGGCAGACACTGTTGAGGCCACTCCACACTTGTTTAAGCGGTGACATTACTTTAAATCCGAGTTAGGACTCTGGTCCCTTCGAGGAACCCCACACTCACCTCCAGCCCATCTACTCCCCTGGGGCTCTGGCCTGCCTAGCCCTTATTCTACCTTTTTCCAGTAGCAGAACCTTAATTTTTCTCAGGAGAATTACAATTCTATTATCTTCAATTTTGTGGTTCCTGTAGGTGCTTACCTGCCCCATCATATCAGCCTGGATAATCAGAAAATTAGGTTTCCCCTGGCTATGGTGATTGGTTCAGAGATGAGCATGTGAATAAACACAATGAGCCAGCCACAAATTTTGCCTGGAACCATTGGAAAGCAACATCTCCCCTTATGAATCTGTGTATTTGTGAGGTCTGAGTAGGTGTTACCTATCTGCTAGAACATGAGTCTGGAGAGGCTTGGTGGCCAAATTTACTATCATGTGTGGAGATCCTATCTGTACATCTGTAAGTGCAATACAGAGGGAAGCACATCTGAGAGATGAAGAGATTCCTGTGAACATAGACTGAGCACCTGGATCAAGATACACCTGAAGCCAATATTCTGGATTTTCACGTACAGGAACCAAGGAATTCTCTGTTTATTTAAGCCAATATAGTGGGTTTAAGTCACTTATACCTCATTTTTTAATTCCTTAAACAGTTAGTAGGCACTTCTCTGTACCAGGTTCTGTGCTGGGGGCCCTGCCTTCTCAGAGCTCACCACCTACAGGAGGAGGGGGCTCCCAACTCCCAGGTATATACATACCTATATATATACATGTATGTCCTATTGGTTCTGTTTCTCTGGAGAACCCTGACTAATACAGGAGTCACACCTATGTCAATAAGAACCATGAAATTTGGGATACATATCTGTCTATCTACATCTATCTATCTATATACCTACATTAATATTTATTATGGATATATACACGGCTGTTTGTATTACAGATACAAATATGCATATAGTTCTCTGTCTATACCTACATCTGTCTCTCTCCATCTCTCTGTCCCCGTCTCTATTGAAAGAAGACACTGAGGACCCATCTATAAAGCCCTTCTGAGAAAGCCGGACAGCTCTCAGGGAGCAAGCTGAGGCAGCCTCGGGGGACCGTGGCTGCGGTGGGGACTTTCCTTCCTATCAACAACACCCGCCTCTGGATGTCCTCATCCTCCCTCTATTCTGTTTGGAGCGGCTGGCATTTCACCTCTGCCCCCAGCTGCAGTGATGTGTTCAACGCAGGCACCCGGCCACGCCTGCCAAGCAGTGTAACCCAGCCCCCGAGGCCTCAGTGCTAGGCTTGCAAATTGGTGCAAAATGCAGGAATTGCAGGACTCATTAGAAAAATACATGTTTTTTAAAGATTGGCACCTGAGCTAACATCTGTTGCTAATCTTTTTTTTTCATTCTTCTCCCCAGAGCCCCCCAGTACATAGTTGTATATTCTTAGCTGTGGGTCCTTCTAGTTGTGGCATGTGGGATGCCACCTCAGCATGGCCTGATGAGGGGTGCAGTGTCCACGCCCAGGATCCAAACCAGCGAAACTCTGAGCCGCTGAGGCAGAGTGCACGAACTTAACCACTCAGCCACGGGGCCGACCCCTAAATCCATTTATTTTTTAACCTCGGGAACTGAAAGGCATATGGATAATAAGCGCCTGGAACCACGGGTGGAACCAGAAGAGGAAGCCGACACTCCAGAAGACCGAGCTAAGAGGAGAGAAACTGAATACTGCTGACTTGCTGGAGTCCCTGAATCCGTGTAGTCAGATGTAGTCTTGAACATTTTATTTACATCAGATGACATGGAGCCACTTTTTGCTGAATCCAGTTTGAGTGGTTTTGACACCTGCAAGCAGAAGACGAACCACTGGCATGGAGAGTCTGGAAGGGGCTATTCTGTCCTAATTTGGGGAAAGGACATGAGGAGAGGATGGACCATGAGGCGGATGAGCACACACCCCTGGGGAGTCCTTGGAAATCGACAGGCTATCCAACAGCCCTGAAGGGGAGTTCCAATATCAAGCAGGGGCCAGTAGAGAGCGACTCTCTTTTCCTAAATGGAGCAGGCTGAGGGAAAGCCTGGCCATGTGGTCTGTTTAATATGGAGGGTTGCCAAAAAAAAGGCAGATAGAGACAGCTGAACACTACTGTGGTGGAACCACCAAGCCTGGGGAGGACACATCACAGAGGAAGAACTTCCCTTCCAGGACCACCTAGAACCCTGGATCCTTTTCTGTCTCTCAGGCCACTGAATTCCTGGACATTTGTCCTGACCAGCCCCCACCAAGCGCCTTCAATCACAACTAAAGAGGGGATCCAAGGGAAATCCACCCACTCTGTGGAGTAAATATGAATATTCACTATGAATGATATGAATAAATATCTAATGATATGATATAAATAAATGATATGAATAAATATCGAGCAATGGGTCAATATCTAGTAAGATCTTGGGCCTGACTATTCACTCCTTCAAGGATAGATCGACAGAACACACACATGCACACATGCAGACAACAGGTAGGCTATACAAATTTGTTAACAATATGGAAGGAATACAGCCTCTGAATACAGAGGAAAGAGCCTCCTTTTAATAAAGATTTACTAAAGGAAACAGACATACATTTTAGACAGTCCCTTCTCTGGGCCCACAAATAAGGCTAGTTCTGGTGGGCAGAAGTGAGGGAGAGTTATAATTCTTTTCCCTGAAGCAACTATCCAGCTTAGCTGTAAATATTGCCTTTGGCTATCATCTTTCTTGAGAAACTGAAGGAATTAAGTACAGGGATCTGGGAAAGTGAGAAAGACAATCACAGCAAGCTGAGCGACCGTCCTCCGCGTATCTGGGCCCCCAGGTTTAATAAAGCAGAAGGTGAAGATGGATGCGATCGCTCACCAGGAGAAGCCACCAGGGCTCGCCTCCACCCCTCAGCTGACCCCCTTCCACCAGCAAATATGCTCCCGTGCGGTCCTCACACATCTCATAAGCTGACTTTTCCAAACACAGGGTCACTATGCCATGCAGCTAAACGAGGAATCCAGCCCTTCGACGTGGCTGGTTTGCTCACAGATGAGCAGATTTAGGGCAACCCCATAAGGAAGGAATAAGACGCTGCAGATGCTCAGAAGTGCCCCCATGAGGGAGGTTCGGAAGCTTCATCAGTAAAGAACTCTGGGTAGATCTGAATTCGGGCGGGCATTTTTTTCTTCCCCATAACTGTGACGCTTATCCTAGAGAAGCAATAGAAAATAGAATTTTGGGGTGTTCTAAGGCCAAAGCAGATTCTTTATCTTATCATCATGCCCCGCCATGTCCTGTTGGTGGTGAGGGCAGATTTATTTATTAATGACCCTATAAATATTTAGGATGTCAAAGCAGGGCACCAAAGGGAAACCCTAGAGCAAGGCTGTGTGGCTGCCTAGCTCACTCTTAGGGTTTTTCTAGTGTGAGATTTCTTTTGTCATCATGGAGAAATCAAGCAAACTTTAGAAATGAGCTGTAAATAAGACTGTGCATATGTAAATATAGTATAATAAATGTATATATGTAAACATATGCAAATATAGAATATATTAAACATATGTAGTATATATAATATTGATATTAAATATAATATATATTAACACATGTGTAATATATACACTTTACAAAAACAATGTAACAATAACACTATATATTGTTTTATATGTCATGTCAAAACATTATTCTGTCTATATTTGCATATATATTTCACAAAAATAATGCATGATATACAACACACACACATATATATGTCCAATATATATTACACACAAAAAATGGACTCCAGAGGGTGGTTTCTGCTTTCCCAGAAGCCTTCTTCCTGTTCCTCCTGCGAAGTGCGCCCCCAGCTGCTTCATGATTGTTAGCATTTCTTGCTCTGCTCCCCCAGCCCCTGGTGCCGGGCTCCACGGTAATTAGTAACCTGTCTGTCACATTTCCCCATCCTAAGAAATGCAGCCTCATCCAGCTTTGAAGTCCAATTTTAATTTAGATGCAAACTACTCCCCTAGTACTAGCAGTCTAAAAGGATCCTGGGCCGAGTTTCCACCTGATCAGAATGTCCTTTCCTTTCATCCTGCCAGACAGCACGCAGGAGCCTCATATCCACACAGCATTTCCACCACTTCCTCCCTGTGTCCTAGCCCTGGGACACCTGTCTATCACATAGGATTCCTCACATTTCATTGGCTGTTTATTTAAATTTCTGAGAGAAACGACCAAACTAAGACAAGATATTTATATACATATTTACATATACAGAGAGATTTATTACAAGGAACTGGCTCATGCAATTATGGGGGCGGGCAAGTCCCAAGAGCTGCAAGATGAAGACTGGAAGCTAGAGACCTGCCCAGGAGAGCTGATGGTTTGGGTCTAGTCTGAGTCCTAAGGCCTGAGAACCGGGAGGGCTGTTGCTGCATTTCTAGTCCAAAGGCGGGCAGGCTCTTCAGGAAGAGTGATGTTTCAGATCAAGTCCGAAGGCTGGAAAAAAGCCAGTGTCTCACATGCAGGCCATCAAGCAGCAGAATTCTGTCTTACTTGGAGGAGGGTCAGCCATTTTGTTCTACACGGGCCTTCAACTGATTAGATGAGGCCCACCCATATTTGGGAGGACAATCTGCTCTACTCAGTCTACCAAATTAAATGTTAATCTGATCCCAAAACACCTTCACACCCTCACAACCAAGAATAATGTTGACCAAATATCTGGGCACCCCGTGGCTCAGTCAAGTTGACACATAAAATTAACCATTACAATGTCCTAATTGCTGGGACCTGTGAATATGTTACCTTACCTGGCAAAAGGGATTTTTCAAATCCTGAGATGGGAGATTATCTTGGTGGCCCAATCATGAGAGTCATTTGAGGGAGGCAGGAGGGTCAGAGTCAGAGAAGGATGTGATGGTAGAAGCAGAAGTCAGAGAGGACAGAAGATGCTACACGGCTGGCTTTGACGGTGGAGGAAGAAGCCACAAGCCAAGAAATGCGGGTGGTCTCTAGAATCTAGAAAAGGCAAGGAAATATTTTCTCTTCCGGAGCCTCCAGAAGGAATGCAGACCTGTTGACACCTTAATTTTGGACTATGGACCTCCAGGACTGTAAGACAATAACACTGTGTGGTTTGAAGCCACTAATTTGAGGTAAGTAAGTACAGCAGCGACAGTAAGTAACATGACCCTCAGCTTCTGACAGAACAGGTAACGGAAGTGACAATTATTCCTCCTACTTCAGAACTTTGTTTATGAAACCTTCTGGGATGTTGATCTATGCTGACTTGACTGACACTTCATTTACAATAAATTTCCTCGGGAATCATATAGTGGGATCCACTATCAGATAAGTTTACCTTCAACCAAAGTACTTCTGGTGACATCCATAACTGCGGTCCTTTGGGTAGGATGCAAGCTGAACCAGCCATTTATTGAATTCTTCTCTGTAGTGGACTCAGATCATACTTTCCGGATGTGACTGGGGGAGAGGGTGTCATCGTGGTTAAACACACAGGCTCTGAAGGTGGACTGGCTCTTCAGCTGGGTGAACTTGAGCGAGCCACTTAGTGTTTCAATAGTGTGATGTTCTCATCCATAAAATGGAGATGATCGTGTGCAGTTCACAGATTACTGTGTGGATTACCTGGGCCAATGTTTGCAAAACGCTCAGAACAAGACTTGACCCACTGTGCCCAATAAGTATTTGCGCTGGTTAAGATATGTGTATGCATGAAAAATAGGCCTTTCTGGCAAGGATGTGAGGCCTGGCCTTCCCTTGATGTTGTTTGTTGAGAACTCTGATCCAGAATCATTTGAGTTTCAAAGCAGGGCACCCAGCAATCGTGGCGAGTTCACAACGGACTACTGCACCCTGCCATTCTGATGGAAATTGTGGGACTGGAGAAAAATGCTCTCATTTTTGGAAAATCAACTTAGGAGCAAATAATTTTTAAGAGTTTTAGAAGGATATCAACCATTTTTCTGGGATATTAGCTTTGTAATAATAATGTCTTTGTTTCAGGATTGTAAAATTTCCCCTTGCCGATATAAATTATGTCTTTTGTGGGCAAGAAAGACAGTGAGATGCAGTGGTTAAAAATTGGGATGGGACTGGAAAGTTGCATTCAAATTCAGACCCTCCACTCTCCATTGAGAAATCACAGGCTGGATGTGCAACCTCCACAAGCCTCAGTTTCTCCGCCTGTCATATGGGAACAAGGACAGCACGTGCCACACAGGGTGGTTGGGACATTAAGTCATCCCGTTCACTCAGAGCCCCACACACGGAAAGAAGCTCAGTGAGATGAGGCATTGTTCTCACAATGATCATCAAATCCTCCCATTAATAAAAAAAATAGAGTACCATCAGATGCCCCTTCTTATCACAGTGGAAGAGGCTGTTGGTGCCACCAGCATGCTGCTCTCCTATGTCCCCACTCTGCCTCCCTCTGTTCCCCAGACCCCTTCCTCAGCTCCCCCATGCACCCTGCCACTTCCTGTCGCCATCACTTTGCCATTGGGACACTCATGCCCCTCGACACCCACTCAGGCGTGATCTCGGCTGTGACCTCTTCTCCCCAGGGGAGGGGTCATCACTCCATTCTCTGACCTGCTGTGAGCCTCCCCCGTTCTCCTTGTCTCCCTCTTACCTGGGGGACTCCGATTGCTGGGGAAAGGTCTGTACTCCTAGGAGCCTGTGAGCTCTCGGGGGAATAGCCACATCTTCGCGGTCCTTGACGTCTTAGCAGATGATAGTGTCGGTTATCTGTAGACTGACAAATGCTGATTGAATGCATCGGCACTAGGTTCTGTCTGACTTCTTCCCATCTCATTGCCTCATACTCTTTCCTTTCCTGTTCTTTTCAATGGCTTTACTGCAATACAATTTATATACCCTAAGATTCATCCATTAACGTGTACTGTACATTTCAGCGGTGTTTAGTATATTCACAGAATTGTACAACCATCACTACAATCAACTTTAAAACTTTTTCATCACCTCAAAAAGAAACTCTGCACTCACCAGCAGTCGCTCTCTATTCCCCTCTCTCCCTCAAGCCCTACGAAGACACTCATCTACTTTCTGTCTCTAGAGATTTGCCTGTTCTGGAGATTTTATATAAATGGAATCAAACAACACGTGGCCTTTTGTGTCTGGCTTTTTCACTCAGCATAATATATTCAAAGTCCATCCATACTGTATGCAGCATGTGTCAGCACTCCGCTCTTCTTTGTGACCGAATGCCACTCCATTATAGGGGTATGCCATATTTTGTATATCGGTTCATGAGTTGATGGATATTTGGGATGTTTCCACTGTTTGTCTATTTAGATTAACGCTGCTATCGAACATTCATGCAGAGGTTTTTGTGTGGACATTTGTCTTTAGTTTTCCTAGGCGTATACCTAGGGGTGAAGACTCTGCTAGATTTTACTTTCATTTTATTTGATCTGCTCAGAAAGCTTTCCTTTCCCCACCTTCATGGTAGGTAACCCTACTACCTCCCCTTAGCCAAAGGGGTCCCATGGCCTTATTGTGGCCAATCATATGGGCATGAGCCCCAGCCCAGGCTTCTCTGAGCCCCTCTCTGGGATTTCACAGCTGTACCTGGAGGAGAAGCAACCATATGTCTGAAATCACAAGGCTGGGAGGGGGAAACTGGGGCCTCTGGGCATTGGGTCCCCCTCATGGGAAGGACAGGAAAGGCCTGTCTGCTGTGGGAAAGAGTGAGGCCACACAGAGGCCAGCTGGAGTGGACTTGACCTACAGAGAGAGGACAGCTCTGCATCCTGTTCCCACCCCCAGGGTGCTGGCTCTGTGGGTACCCTGCTCCTCCCCCCAAGTCCGTGAGGCTCCCTACTTCCCCTCCCAGACAGGTGTGCTCAAACCACCTCTTTGGTTCCCAGCTGTTTCTGGCTGTGTTTCTGTCACTTACAACAAGAAAAGTCCTGGGAAATAGAACGAAGTTCAACCAATATCTTCTGAACGTCGACAATCTCCAAGGCTGTGTGCCAGCCAATCGTGATGATCAGAAAATGAGCAAGATGTGACCCAGTTCTCCCGTAGCTCCTGAGGAACCATGCCAGTCTTCAGGGTATGTTTACGACCCTTTCTAGACTGTGTCCTTGGTGAGGTCCCCAAAGCCCACTGCTGATAAGAGTGGGAGCAGGACCCGGCTCATTCTCCAGCCTGACATAATTTCATAACCAGATCCTTCAAAGAACTACAAAGAGGACCTTAGAGACAGACGCATAGCAAGACTAGGGAGATATTAACACCTGGCTAGTATCTGCATATCTTCAACACGTCTTAAGGAAGTTTTCTACACATCCAGCCTAAGGGAAACATTTTTATGCAAAAGAAAAATCAAAAAGAATAAATGAGAGCATTGGAGGGAATGCTTTGAACTTTAAAGGAAAGGTAAGTAAGCTGAGATGTATCATAATCGTATCCCCTCCTTAGAGTGAGCTCGCCATTCATTTAAAAGTCTGTGTCGAGAGGAGAGGAGTGAGGGAAGGAAGAAACACAGCAGCGGTTCCGTTGATGGAACAGCCCCCGGGAGGCGATCAAAACACACTCTGTTATAATGTGTTCAGAGGGGAAGCCCTCCGGTTTAGCCAGCCTGCTGACTTTCACTTCATCATTAGGTAAAAAGCAGTCCAGTGGTCCTGCCTAAATTAAAATAGCCCATTCAAGCTATTAATCAAAATTCTAAACATGATGACATCAGCTCTGGTCTTCTTCAGCCTGGAAGACCGCGGGGAAAAGGGCTTCTCTCACTCTGCGCCCACCGGCTCCCACCATCTACCAACCAGGAAGCAGGCTCTCAACAGACATCAAATCTGTCAGCACCTTGATCCTGGACTTCCAGCCTCAAGAACTGTGAGGGACAATGTCTATTGTTTATAAGCCCCCAGTCTATGGCACTTGGTTGTAGCAGCCTGAACTCAAACAATCACTTTTCATCAGGAAGGACTTCTGAGGGGAGGCGACACAAGAGCTCAGAGACACCAGTGTGAGAAGGAAACGAACCTACAGGCAGAGAGAAGGGGACAAATAGCTTCAGGGAGGGAGGAGAGGGCTGGGCACGCATCCTTGTGCCCACTGCACCATCAGATTGCTCGGTTCCCGCCATTCAAAATGCTCATTACAATCTGAAATAATATTGATGATTTATTGGTTTGTTTCGCTCACTAAAATACACGTTCCGTGAACACAGAGGCGATGCCAGCTGCTGCCCCAGGACCTGGGAGACCGTGACACAGACTAGGTGCTCCGAAAGCTTTGCGGAATGAAAGCCTGTTCCTCCCGGTCCCCGCCCCCCTCTGAGTCAACCGACCTCATGGGGTCCCCTCAGCCCAGAGCACCCTCTATGTCATCTTTGGTTATTATTTTGCAAAGCCAAGCACGCGCATTGGCTCCAACGCAGCCTCCCCTCACTCCTCAAACTGGCTGCCTCCTCTGAAGCTGCCCCCGGGGACCGGCTGGCCCTGCTGTTCCCAGCAATTTGACTGTGGAGCTGACCCTACATTTGAGTCCTGGTCCTGCCTCTTTCTAACCCCTGCATGGGGAGCTTGAAACTTGAGGACCCTATGGACAGTGATGTGACTCCCAGCCAGGAAGTGTGTGGGTCTCAGAGGGCCCGCTTACCTGCCCAGGTGAGGAGCTGCCGGAGGCTGCCGGTGGGGAGGGAACAGGCCCAGAGTGTGCTGACGCCTAGGAGGCTGGCTGCCCTGGACCTGCTGTGGGCCAGGCTTAGGCACCATGCCCTTTGTGTCCCAACAGAGCCACTTTCACGAGGGTCACAGTCACTATTAGTCATGCCGGGGCAACAAGCATAAGCCAAGGCTGCACCGCACAAGCAGGGCCGTGTGGTCCGCGCAGAGTGGAGCGCCGGCCTTGGGAGGGCTGTCCAGGCGCTCCTGCTGGAGGACAGCCAGGCCGACGGGGAGAGTCTGCGGGGGTGCGGGAAGGATGGACAGAGGCTGGCGGGGCCCAGGGTGGACCGCGGGTGCAGAGCGCGCGTCAGCAGTGGATCCCCTCCTGTTTGCACACGTCTCATCACGCGGCAGCTTGCCCAGAATCCTGCCCGTTTCCACACGAGCCCCTTCCACGTTTTGTGTCTAAATGGTCCTGGCATTTCACGTTACGATCTTTGCTGAACATTTCCCTGAATACGTTCTTCTAGGTGCACGCTGTCACCTGCTTAAATAGCTCAAGCGCTGCTGGCAGAAAACACATAATTCTCACAGATGCTGCGTGTCGAGCCCTGCAGCTAAATGCGCGAGCGCTCCAGAGCAGGGCGGTTTATGGCGCGCGCACATTTGCACTTCTAAGTGGATATTTAGAGCAAAACAAAAATACCTAATAGCGAAGCAGTCTTCTAAATTCATCTCATGGCATTGTCCCCCGGGGGCGTCAGTTGTTTCCAAATTAAGTGATTTGATTGCACGGCGCTCGGGATTAGGTGCCTGCGCGGAGGATTCGGGGGCTATTTTATTTGAGCCAAAACCAGCTGTCGGTGGCGGGGGTGAATATCTGAAGATGAAGTAAGCGTTGAAATCTGATTTGAACAGAGTCTACATTAAATATGGTAATGTGGTTTTTCATCAGTACTTGGGGGGCTATGTCTGTTTAGTTTTGTGACTATTGTTAGGTTGGCTCATGTGAAACTGCTGATATCTGACCATTTTGACATATAAAATTATAATGTCATATGGGTAAGATAACAGAAGGATGTAATTTACATTCCATAGACTTCCAGAGATGACTTAGTGATCCAAAAATGGCAATTGTTATAAATTCTAGGTCATTTTCATTCTAGGTCTTCCAGTTTAAATTAGAGTAAATTAAAGTCAAAGTAAATTAGAGTAAAAGTCTAATTGAGTAGAACTTTAATTCTTTCCCAGGCCCAAATTACTGGGATTCCCCGGGCAATGATGGGAATCTTTCTGCCCCTGTACAGGCTGGGAGGTGGGTGTGGGCTGGCGGTGTCTGAGGAGCATCAGAGAGGCTGCTGAGGGAGGGAAGACAGAGGAAAGGAGGGAGGAGAGCGATGAGAGGAGGGGGAGATGGAGGGAGAGGAGGAGGAAAAGAAGGAGGAAGAGAGAGACGAAAGATGGATAGAGGAGAGGGGGAGGAAGGGAGGGAGGGAGGAGGAGGAAAGAGAAAGAGGAAGGTATGGAGAGGAAGCAGAGGAAGAGGATGGAATGAGGAGAGGAAGGCAGGCAGACACTGTGATGGGCTACCACGTTCTTCGTTTAAAAACAGTTGGCAGAATATTTACTGTGACTGGAGAACAGTTCATTAGCTCTGATTGAATTTTGCTTCCTCTAAAAGGCTGATGATAATAATAACAACAACAACAACAATAGTAATCACTACCACTTAGAGAGCAGATACAACATGCCAGGCACACTTATATTACTTACACACACATATGTATATCACACACATGATCCTCACGACGACCCTGAGTTAGTTGGTGTTATCATCATTTCCATCTTGGAAATCTCACACAGAGAGTTTGAGTAATGTGCATGGTTTATTGTAACTTCCTCTAGGTGGGGAGTAGAGATCAGGATTCAAACTCAGGACACCTGGCTCCAGAACCCGGGGCCTGTGCTCTGACCGCTGCACTGCCCTGCCTCTCTCCCGCACGCTCTGCATGCCTTCTACCCTGGAGATGCACAGAGAAAAAAATCTCACCACTAGCCTCTCCAACAACCCTTCTCACCCAAATGGGAATGTTTTTTCCATTTTTAGGTTCCTAGTTCCTATATCCAGAAACTTCCCTTTAATTATTTTGCCAGTTGGTATTCATATCCTCAACTGTTTGGTAAATTACCTGTGTCCATCCTGCAAAAAAGCCATTGCATCTATTTTGCTATTCAATAAAACTTCTTTAAAGATGTTCATCAGCCCCTTTTCAGTCTTAATAACTTGGATGAAAAAGCATGGAACATACTGGAAGAGAAGTAGTTGAAGAATATATTATCAAATTCCATTTCCATAAAAAGTAGATTGAAATGTAGGGCAGAGTGAATATCTTAGTGCATCAGGTGAAGCCACGTCCTGGGGTGAGGAGGCATCCTGTGGCGTGGCACCCAGTGCCCTGTGGTCGCCTTGTAGCATGTGTCAGTCTTGTCATTAATGGATCTCATGTCATCCCCACTGGGTGGTAAGTTGTATGGGGGCAAGGATTGCATCTCTTTCTTCGTTCCTATGCTCTCACAGCCTGAAACAGCGCTTGGAAAATGAGAGGCATCAGGAATGTTTGTTGATGGAATAAACAAATGGATGAATGAATGTAGATCTGGTCAAATAAGTTGTTTTGAACACCCCTAAATGCATACTTTAGAAATTACCAGTGGTGGTTGTGCTCGGGTCCTATGTACAGACCACAATATCGGGCCATTGGTATCAGAAATTAATCTGGATACCCAGACTCCATCCACTGCTTTGGGATTGGTTACCTCTCTCTTCATCTGGGGCAAGGGTGGTGTCACTTCCCACTCCGAGTCCACAGCAGGCATCGCTAATCAATCACAGCATTCTCACTGAGGCAAGACCAGGTCTCTGAATCCCTAGGAACACCTCACCTTGTGTAGACACAGCCGACCCGTCAGAGGTGACAGGGCAGAGGGACACGTTACCAGCCCTCCAGAGGCAGAGATGGATCTTTGGAAATGTGATTATTAGGCAAATAAGTAGAAGAGGGAAGGACTGTGGGACTTTTTGTTGAGCTTCAGACCTCGGCAGTTGGAGTCACCCTGCAAGATGACTTCCCCGTTGCTCCAGACCACTTAGCAGTTCCCAAAGCATGACCACTCTCCTGGGTCTGGGGAGCGAGCAGGTGCCACAACATTGGCCTTACAGACCGTTTCTTTAACGAGAATGGAGAAGAATACACTTTCGTCTGTAGATTACCTCTTTATTGACTCAAATAAAAACCATCCAGAAAACAACTGCCCTCCATTAACCATAAGTACACAGTACACATAAAAAGAGCAAGGGATTTCAACGTGGCATGCTAATGGAGGCAATCAAAAACGGAAAACAGACGATCAACAACCGGGGCGGGTGCCATCACGAGAACCACTTCACAAGGAGCATAAGCGAGTGGTCCCGGGTAGAGAGAAGCACCATATAGAAGAACATTGCTGGAGAGATCCTGGGCTGCAGAGCCGGACGCAGTCATTCTCCTCGTGGTGAAAAATTGCATCTTGCAAAGGTCCACCTCTGCAACTCACCTTTAAGGACAAAGATTGTTGGGAGCACTCTCTCCTGGGGAAATCACTCACCTAGCTTTTCTTCCATAAAATAAAGGGAGACAGGAGGACTCTCCCTGCAGCGCTGTCCGGGAGGGTGGCACTCAGGTCTCCAGCAGGATGAGAGTCAAAGATGCATCTTTCTTCCTGCTTTGACAGGGACACATTCCAAACTCTAGCAGAAGGCATCTGTTTTAGCAGGTACACCACAGTTTGCCTTTGAGGCATCACAATGGCTAAGGGATTGGTATTATTATTGGATATTGTGCCTCTAATGTGGGGGGAGGCATATCTCAGCTAAGTCAGAAGACACCCAAACATGGCAAAGGGCTTCAGACGGGGGAAGGGGCCGAAACCCCTATGTCCCTGGCACTGTGATGATACGCCGAGGTGTTTTCCATGCAAGGGGAGAGCTTGAGATCTGTTAACTTTATCTTATTTTGTTTTCCCTTAGCATCTTTTAACAGGATACTAGATAAAACCTAGCACTTAGCCCTGAGGATGTGTCAGTCCTCTTTTAAAGAGGACCTGTGATCTAGTTATAGCTGTCATCATGCCATCTTAGCAATAAGGCGCTAAATAGCCTGCGACAGTTCTTACAGGTAGGATGTGATGGAGTCAGGCCTTGACTCCAGAACACCTGGCCTGAGTCCGTGCTGTAACCCCTGTGCTATACAGCTGCTCTGCTCATCCCCTTTACCTTCCATCATCTTGAGGAAATGTAACCTCACCGTGGGTTTCTCCTGCACACAAAGAGGGGCATTTTTCTTGTTCAGGTCCCTAGTTCCTGTCTCCAGAAATTCCCTTTGATATGTTATTAATATCATCAATTGCATGTAGCGCATTCATCTCTCTAGTCATAAAGAGCCAAATTGCAGCCATTAGCTGTTCATGGAGAATTCTCTAATGAGGTTTATCAGCCCTTTTATGTATTTAATACCTAGGATAAAAATGCATCATAAATTCAACAAGAGCGGTGAGAAATAGATTACATTCATATAAAAATCAGGTTAAACTGTAGGATAGAAAGTAAATTGGCTTAGTTCATCAGGTAAAAATCTATATATATATGTACGTATTCCAGGTTGTAAGAAAGGAGCTTGGTATAAGCTTTCCGTCGATTTCGAGCACTCAGTAACCCCTCTTCTCGTGCATTTGCACAGTTGTAACTAATGAATGTTGTGTCATCCCCTGTAGCAGGTAGAATAAGGCCTCTGAAAGGTCTGCATCCTAACCCCCGGAACCGTGGCCATGTGGCTCACCGGGCAGGAGGGAGTTCGCGGATGTGATTAAATTAAGGATGTTGAGGTGGGGAGAGGATCCTGGATTATCCAGGTGGGCCCAGTGTCATCACAGGGGTCCTTGTAAGCGAACAGAGGCAGGTCAGAAGGAGAGAAGGGGGTGTCAGGATGGAAGCAGAGGTTTGAATGATGCTTCCATGAGGCAGGAATGTGGCACCTCTGGAAGCTGGAAAAGGCAAGGAATGGATTCTCCACCCTCTGCAGCCTCCAGAAGGAACTCAGCCCAGCCAAGCTCTTGATTTTAGCTCCTTTTGACTTATTTCAGACCTGTGACTTCTAGAACGGTAAGA